TCCAGGCTCTTAACGCAATTCTAGGCAACACGTTTAACCAATTGACTACAGAGGCTGTAGATACATGAAAAACATTTCAGCGGTGAGTTCGGACGAGTTACATAATAGAAACACTACGTTTTTTACTTAGCGAAATATCTGAGTCATAATTTACAAGTGCGAACAGTTGGTTTTGCTACGTGCTACTCCTATTTATATAATTTAGTGACAGCTTAGTTCGACAAGGAAAGATTTATTATTAAATGGAACAATAAAACAGAGATAATATTCTTTTGGACGACATTTTTTCATATTTAAGAGCCTCCAAATGCTTTAATCGTAATCGTTGGTCTAGATATTACAGAGGACAAACAGGTCACAAGATTCCGGGTTCGAATCACGGGATGGGCGAAAAAATACTATAGCATTTGGAATTTAAATAAATTAAGCCGGTTCTGATAAACATTACTATATTGGTGGCGATAGTAAAGCCAGCTAACTGGGAAACGATAGGTATCTTAAACCATCTATTTTAAGGAAAACGTAAGCTATAATATTAATTTAATGTAATGATATTACTAAAAACTAACATATAGGAAAGAGGGTAATATTGCCAAAAAATATAACATTGATCGCAAACAAATTCAGCTAGCAATATCCGTAACACAACGCGCTATACTTTCATAATAGTGGACACGCATTGAATATAAATGGCTACGTGGAATGTATTAAAAATACTGAGTCATTAAGCTTTATTTTATTTTGGAGGAACAACGAGTTATAATAAAATTTTACCGGTTCGTTAGTAGCGATGCGTATTGAAATCAATACCTACGGGATGAAACATATATGTAACAAATTATCAAAATTAAATAAAACACTTTTAAATAATTTCTAATTGCTAAATTATAATTTCGAAAAAGCCGCCGAAATACATTGCGCGTTTTAAACCGATAAATGTGTTATGTAGAAATATGCACTACTCGCGTATACTACAGACAGTATGTAAATAATTCAAAGGTCCAGCTACTTTAGGATCTAGATAATAAATACATGGTGAGAGTATCGAAATTCTTCCCAGGTCGCGAACCGGCCTCCACAGATGAAATAGCCATGAGGTGTAAATTCGTGTTACGTTATCAGTCTGTGGATTTACGTTGATAGAACTTTACTTACATTTTCTGTTGCATTTTTCTCAGCATCGATGCGATAAACCGTCTGACCTTGTCTAAAAATAAGAAAGATTGACATAAACTAATTTTTTTGTCTGTTTCACTAATCGTGGCTATTTTATTTACAAGAACTTTCTTAGATCACACAGTTGCCAAAATATGACGATTTATTATGTCTTTTCGGGATTTGAACTGAGGACCCTTTTGTGTATAACCAATGACATACAGCGGTCAAATATATATTATTTTAAGGCGTTAGGACGTTTAATATCACGTATCAAGTATTTTGAACAAACGAAAATATTCGGACGCAAGGATGGATGTGAAGATTGCTATCACAGATTCTTAAACCTTTATTTTTCAATTCCCTGTGCGTTCTGCATGACTGACTGAATTCGAATACAGTACAATCTTTGGCTATCAATCAAACGTAAAACCCTAAAGCTCTTCCACTGCGTACAGACAATTCATAGGGATTTAGTTTCTACAATAAACTCGCTAAGGATAACATATAAAGGCGAAATGTTTTTAATTTAATTAAATCCTGAAATACTAGGATTATTTTGGAGATAGATCATTTGTTGGGCTTTTCTTATCAGATATATTTGCGCTTGACTTAAAACAAGTGTAGTTATTATTGAAGTCAGAAAATAACATTTTATTCGAGTATGTGGGCATAGTACCCATGTTTCTTTTTAAGACACCTGTCTTGAATCTTGTTACATTGCTAAATATTATTTCGTAAGTTGACTTCAAAATATGGGTTTAATGTTAAATGCTTAATGCCATAAATCAATATAAAAATGTGAATTTGTTTTTTATTGTTAGAACTTCATATATAATAAAATATAGACGAATAATACATATTTATATTATAAATATAACTCGTTTCAGTGCTTTTATTGTGGTATATACTGTTCTCTCCAAACATTTGGCCGGGCTGAAGTTAACGCGACTGCCATCTTGCGCATGGTACTGACAATTTTAAGCAAAAAGTCGAATCGCCCTGCACCTCTCGTAGCAACTGATACCTGCTTTTTGCATTCTGCGCAACCTTTCAACCAACTTCAGCCCGGCCCAAAAAATTTTGTGAGCACTGTACTTTAAAAATCGAAAATAAATTGAAAAAAATTTCGACTCGGGCAGGACTTCAAAAGCACTGTACTTGACTAATGAATCCATAATTCTATGCTTCACTTTTGCGTATGACCTTCAATTACTTACGTCTATAATATCATGTATGACGTCTTTAAAATCTATGTCTAAAAAGTTCAATACGAAACAAAATATAAGAAGTCATTTTCAAAACAAGCTTAACATAATATGTAGACGTGTAGATTTTTTGAAGATTTTGACAATTTAATATTTAACTAACTTATTATAAGTGAAACTATAAAATAATAAAAGACATGACCATATTCCACATATTTTGTTAACTCTACGAAAGTAGTCTTTTATGCTGTAGACTGTACTTGGCTTTGGTCAACGATGAATAAATATTTATTTACTGACATTAGTCAAATAATAACTAATAAACAGACATGTCAAACAAATCAACTATTGTGTAAGATAATAATAGGGTGGGAAGTACGGGGAACCTCCGGTAACTAAATGATGTTTATCGAATTTTCCGACACTAATGAAGTTATCAGTCTACAAACTACCCTACCGTGCTATACTCACATAATAACATCTCTATTCTAGTAATTTGGTTATCATTGTTTTGAAAAAATGTAAATTAAATGTGTTATAAATAGTATAATAGTGTAATATAGCATCCGTGTGTCCCAATACATAAGTAAAATAGATAAAAAGATAAAATACATTTACATATATGAAAGTGCTAAATTTAGCCGTATGTAGCTATAAGAAAATATACACGTAAAACAGAATGTTTGAGTTTACTTGCTTGATGAGACAAAATCGCGAGAATGTCTTAGCATTAGGAAAAATATTATCAAGCAAGTCACGTCAAAGCTGAAACGAGCCTGTGAAAATATAGAATAAAATAAATTAGTCTCTGTTGGCCCGTAACAAAGAGATATTTTGTCATTAAATTTTGCCTTGGAACATTGGACGAAATCTAGCTGCAAAAATTGCAAATGCAAACAATTTTAATTACACCTACCTTTGTTCAAAGCGAAATTTAAATGTTATGATAAATTTTAAGTATAGTCGAGGGACTTGTGCGTCCAATGATAGCATGTATGACTTACAAACGCGTTGTGGGTGAAAACGATGCCAGCAGGTACAACATGTTTGTTGATTATTTAAGTTAAGCCCTTCTGAAAAATCTGGAATCCATAATCTAGGTAACGACCCGTCTACAGGCAGGCGGAGGAGACGTAAAGTGACTCCAGGCACGTCTGTCCTTCACTGACATAATATAGGTAACATAAATATTAGTGTGCTTACCGTTTTTATTTATACTATCCTCTTAAGGAAAATTATAATTGACTTCACAAGCAATATATTCCCGTCTCTATAATAAAGCTTCGGCAATCTATTATAAATATCAATTACGGGTATAATAGTTGAGGTGTACCGGCAATTTGCAATCGTCAATAAAATCGTGACAAAAAGTGAATATCCAAAGAATAATTGTTACTTATTACGCACTATTGAGATATAAATAGAAACTTGTTGATTAAAACCGCCTTTCAGCTTAATAACAGCCTTAATTATTTAGCCTAGTTCGATGCCCTATGTAGGTTTATCATAAATTTCAATTAAATGAAAAGAAATAAGTAATTTCTTTAGTAATTAATAATTAAATAATTTATTTTAGGCTGGCGCTTAATCAATTAAATAATTAAATTAAGAAATTAAGGCCGCCATGTAAGTAAGTTGACAATGTAAAAAAATAAACCAGTTTATGGTTCAAAACACCATTTTTCAGCAATACTTTTCCGAGAATAAAATAGATAAAGTTACAACTCTAAAATTGAAAACGGTTTCTCGCGTATTGGATTCTTCAGTTAGGTATATTTCAGGATAACAATGAGCACTCGTTGTGCCAATGGATTCATGGTTGAGGTGATTCTTTACAACACCCGACTAGAAATTTCTTTTCAACCTGCGCCATTAAAGTAGCACTAGCATTGTTTTAAAGACTTGGTACAAGTTTTTTAAAATAAGTAGAACTCATTACTCGCTTTCAATCTCTTGAAATACTTTACGTTCAGAAAAAACTACGTTAGAATGCTTTAGAGAATTTATACATCGAAGCAAATAATATTTTAAGTGTATTTGTAAGTGTATTATGATAAGTTAAATTCCATTGAAAAACCTTTTTATCGTAAAATTTGTTAATTAATTTAAATTTTTTTTTAATTAAATGAATACCTTTTTTTACAACCTTTTTCCTAACTTACTAGAAAGAAACCCACTTGAGGTGTTTTTGCTCGAACTTACAATTGCCTAAAAGTGGTCAATTTCTAAAGATTATATTATAATAATGTTATGTACGGCACATTACTTTATAGTATGTCTGTGTTTGATTTTAATAAAATTATTATTATGACTTTTTACTTTCTTCTGTACGCACTTTGAAGGACGTCAACATGTAATTAAAAAAATAACTATAATGTTAACATCGTCGATTACAAAAAAAATATTTGTCAAACATGGCTTAAGTCTTCCTCTTCTTAAATATGCATTTAATCTTGATAAAAAGGTATTGGACATACAATTGAATTTTGTCTAATGTCATTGTCAAAACGACATTTCAAAGTAGAAGTTGACATTTCCTACCTACTTGCAAAATCAACAAAATAGTTTTCGCAATCTTGTTTTAGGATTTTCTATTTCCACTTTAAAAGTAATTTATATCCAAATCTAATTATAAATATGTCGGCCGAAAATTCGCCGATAAAGCCTTCAATATCACAAAACAATATACAACCTGTAGCAGATTTTGAGAATCAAGTAAAATAGCTAATTTGCCACCTTAGTACCGCCTTCTTTAACTATATAGATTTATAACGATTTTCATATTTTATTTTAGGATGCATTAATAAAGCATGTGGATATAACAATAGTGGAATCTGAGCAGCGAGCGAACGGAACGCTGCATATACGAGATCATTATACAGTATATCTTATAGATGTGAAGTAAGCATATTCTCACTTATTTTTTTAAAGTCTTAACCACCTTCCTTAACATTATTTTTCTTCAACTAAAAATATAGCTTACAAACTATTGAATTTAAATGTAATAATTACTCTATTAAATTTAAAAATAGGATTGTTTTAGTTATTAATAACTAACTAAATCAATCAATCAATTCTTGCAGAGTAACTGATCCTGAGTATAAACAGCTGCAGACTATGATAAACAGAATATGGAGGAGGTACACTGAATTTGAGCAAATACATGATTACCTACAAGTTACTTATCCTCATGTTGTTATTCCACCACTGCCTGAAAAAAGGGTATTAAAGCTTTAAAGTTTTATATAGCCTCTGCTTTTTTGTATTACTAACAAATAAGTTAAGAGATAATTGTTTTTTATCTTTTTAGAGTCTTTTGCATTTAAAACAGTATATGACTTGGCTTAATACTTAATACCAATGGCATTTAAATGTTTTTACAGATAATTTATGCTTGGAGAAAATGTGATACAACAGACCCAGAATTCATAGAGCGTAGAAGAGCTGGGCTTGAGAATTTCCTACTCCGTGTCGCTTCTCATCCACAACTCTGTTTTGATGATCAATTTATAAATTTCCTGCAACAAGAACATGACTGGCGGGAAACAATTACAGATAGTGGTATGTTTGTTATTAATAATTGTATCTATGAAGTCTGTTTGATCATGAGTGTGCTTAACCCTGACTGAAATTTATATTTGTGTAAATGGTAATATTCTAATATTATGTGTTAAAATATCTATTTTATATACGTGTTATTTATTTAATTCAAAAACATTTTTTGTTTCAGGTTATATTCTACAGGCTGAAAATAAATTAAAATCTTTATCAGTGTCTATAAGACTTCAAAAACCAGATCCTGAAATTGACGGTGTCAAAAGCTATGGAAAACAACTAGAAGCAAACCTCGGAAACTTTTTATACACAAGGTAATTGAAGACAGTATTAAATGTTTATATAATGAATGAAATGTTTGATGTGACAGTAATCAATTTGTAAAATTAATTATAGGTCTAAAATAATAGAAAAAAACTATGCTCTGTGTAAATTGCACGCAAACTATGGCAAGTTATTTAGTGAATGGAGCGTTATTGAAAAGGAAATGGGAGATGGTTTACAGAAGGCTGGTCATTATTTTGGTAGGTTAGCACAATATATTTTGAAAATCAATTTCCACCAAGACTGCAATTTATGATTGCTGATAGAACTGTATATTGTTTTCAGTCTTTTTAGACCCATGTTTTCTGTATTATCTTTGTTTTACAGACTCAATAGCTGTTTCAATTGAGTCTATAGCAGAAGATGAGGAACAGTTAGCTGATCAGTTGAAAGAGTATTTGTTTTATGCAGCTGCACTACAGCACGTCTGTGCCAATCATGAGGCACTCCAACGTAATCTTGAGAATGCTAATGACACCTTAACTAACAGGTTGTTTACATTATAATATCCTTATCAGTATAAGATCTCGCTTTTTTATGTGAAATGGCTGCTCTTATGACTCAATGTTTAAATGCGTTGCGTTTAGTACGAGAGGTCCGGGATACGAATCCCATAATATTTTTTTTTTATTTGGGAAGGCACCTTACTTTCTAAATATTTGGTTCCTTACTAATAGAAAGATCTACTATCTTCACTTGTAAGACAGTGTCCCTATTATGTTATTTATTTTCAACACTATGTTTATTTGTCATATAGAAAAATTGCAGGTAGTTGTAGATATGATCTTAAAAGTTTTGGTTTTGTTTCCCAAAAGCAGTACCAACTTCCGTGTGCTACATTTTTTTGTACTTGCTAGTCAAATGTTGCCCCAAATTTCACTTGGCCATCTTATATGTTTTCAATAATATTATTTGTTAGCGCATAATATATGATGTATATTGAATTGAATTTTAGAATAGCAGAACGAGGCCGTGCAGCAACTGGCAACTCTGGACTAATGGCGCGCATTTTTGGCACGACGGAACCCGACATTGTGCGTGACCAGAATACTCGTGCACTCGACGCCAAGATAGTCGCTGACACGCGAGCTTTAGAAAAGGCCCGAACAGATCTCGAGTGAGTTCTGCTTTTGGAAATAAAGAAATAAGAGTCCTAGCTTAGGGTGACAATTACAAAGTTATAGATATACATTAGTTATTTTGTAAATATGTGTTAAATAGATTATGTTAAATGGAGCTGTGAGACAGTTGAGGGCTTTTGAAGTGTTCTGCTGTCGGAATTAAAGTGAAGAATGGGTCCTGATGTTTTGCTATCACATATATATGATATCACCAGAAGATGTGTGTTCCTTAGCCAAGACCCATCATTCCTTCCATTCATAGCATCAACTCGTAGCCGTGTTTACAAATTGACAGCGAAAGCCTTATTCTATATATAATATAATCTTACGAACCGCCTTAAAACTAATGTTACTGACTGTTTTCCCCACTAGGCCATAAGGCTCTAAATAATCAATCTCAAATATATTTGTTGTTCAAAAGTACCGAACAGTACATTTTTTTTTAATTTACAGGGAATTCAGGAAAAAGGCATGCATAGAAATTGAGTACTTCCAAAGACAAAAAGATAAGGATTTGCACGAATCGTTGGTGAACTTTATTGCTTTACAAGTTAAGGCAGCCAAAAAGGTCAGTACATATTTTTATTGAGAATCTTAAGTTCTGAACAAGAACACATGATAGTACGCTGTTTGCTCGTGGATTCGAGTCTCACATATTCAGTTTTATTTATGCTATTCTGATAAACCATGTTTATCAGAATTGCATAAAACATAATAAAACATGTTTAATATATGCAAAACAAATCATAAATATAATAACCAATGTTATTGATTATTATGATAATGTCTTTTAAATTTCTTTAACTCTTTTTTTTTCTTAAAACACTTTCAAACATAACATAAACGCTAAATGAGTAATAGTTAATGTATACCTACGACCACGTGACCTTGACTCCACATAGGCATCTACACGTCAGTTTCGGGTAATATTTAGCCTAATTATTGAGTTTAAATTTTAATGGCTTTTGATTTTACTTTTCAGAATTTACAAGCCTGGACACAGATAAAAGAATGTCTTCAAAATATGCCTTAAGTGCTTTGCACTACCATATCCTACAGATTATATTTTATACGGTATAAAGGAAATAAATTTTTATATTACACTTTTTACGTAGATAGATGTTCTGTGCTGTACACGTAGTCGAATTTTTAAGGAATCGCAACATCTTCAAACGTAATCGATTATTATATTTTTCTCGATTATCGTAATTATTTTTCTGATAATACAATAAGTTATTTTCGCATCAATAATATTATAATACCATATATCAATTATCTATAATGTTTTACCTTACTTTTAAAGAAGCTTCGGAATTTTAGTGTTTAAATATTCTGAAAATTGATCTCTCTTTTTCTTTTGTAATAACAGCACCAATGAGACAATTATAGACGACATAATAATAATTACTAAGGGGCAATGTTAATTTTATTCATGTACCTGATTCCTTCTGACCATATTAGAGTCACAAATTTGTACTTTGTTATGCCTAAATACTGTCTATAGTTTACGCGAGTAGTACACATTTAAATAAAACACTTTATTTAAATGTGTTAAACGGTTTAAACCGCGATATATTCGTTAAACTTATTTGAAAATGATGTTTAACTCCGGGCAGACTCCTCGTTAAAGTGTTTTATTAGTGTATAGTTTTAAATGTGTTATGCCTGTTCATTATTTTGTTTCAACTGCCATTCCTTTGATTAATAATTCCACTGATCTATGTCATTTTATATTGATAAAAATGCAATGTTGAACTACCCTCAACACTTACAGTATAATATATTCCGTTATGATTATTTAATTTTTAGGGAACTTATAAATAAAACAGGTTAAAAAGTTTAACTGCGATAAATTTATATATTTGGAAGTTTATTTTAACTAACGGTGTTCATAATGCCTTAATATGCAGTAGGTTTTTCTTTTTAACCTCTAGTCTTTACAAATTCTTCTCAATAAAGTTTCAATATAAAAGTAATTATTATGTAATCAGTTTTATTTAATTGTAGCGTTAAGCACTGTTCATCATTACATGGGACGCATTTATAAAACTGATTTTTCACGTCAACTGAGATGCATCAAATATAATGTTAATAATAAATAATATAAACTGACGGGCGCTATTTTATAATCTGAAATTCCTGTGCGTAGTCACAGATAAAAAATCTGTTAACAAATTGTTTTTTTTTTAATAACCAAGGTCTGGTGGCCATTGGCTCTGATTATAAGCTGTGTTTAGTTCGTGTATTTGATAGTCAAATTCGATGCAAGACAGTATATTGTTAATTTAAAAGCATGTATATTTTTAAAGATAATTTGTTAGAGTAATTAAGTCACTATTTATTTGTTTAATATTTTATTGTATATAATGGCAATAGATGTAATAAATACTTCATTTTATCATGTACAATTCTGTTGACTCTTTCTTTTTTCCAGCCTTTATGCAGTTTAACTATCGATAATGGTTAATGTGCCACACGAGCTCCCATATATAAACAGCGACTATCGTTCGATTCTGGTTGCTTGAGAAACTGACGGTTGACGTCACGCTTTAGAACCCTAGACAGTGAAACGCACGGAGGTAGTTTTCGTCTCTCGTCTAACGTTTTTGTCCTTTTCCTTTAAAATTCCTAGACGGTAACACGAAGTGACAAACATACACGTTGTTAAAGCGACACGAACGTTCGTTTTTGTTAAAATTAACGATATTATACACGGACAATCTTGTCAAAACAAAACACTAATGATTTTGACAAAATTCAAGAGTCCCTGCAGTATTTTTTTTATTAGGATGGATTATTAAAAACATACTGCAGGGAAGCTAAACTTATTATATTAATTCTAGCATGCGAAAGAAAACAAGCTAGTCAGGTCCAACTTAACATGATGTAAAATGTAAAACGTGTCCCAGGAACACTTACACCTGTCTCCTATTGATTTCATGTTGAGACCTTGATACAATACAACTTGTTCTTATCGTCCTTTAAGAATGTTGATAAATTAAAAAAGTATTCTCTTTTTCCGTCGATAGTATTTTTAAGTGCCTATTTTTTAAATACATAATTGCATAACTAACTTTGGGATACTAAATATAAATCGTGTATTTATTAAACTTATACATTAATACCTCCGCCATTGAACGCTGTTTCTAACATTGCCTTAAGCGTCGCCCTAGGTTTGATTTCCGGGAAAACAATAAATACTTAAGGTTGAGCAGAATCAGGAGTCTGTTACTAGTCGCCTATAAATGAAATAGATTATGGCAACAGACAGAAATGTAACTGCATACTGCTTCGCATTGTGGAAACGGGATTTTCATCAGATTACTAGGTATGTAAAGAAAGACTAATATCGTGTAAGTAGCTATATCTACATACAAGCCTCTGTCATTTTTTTTTTGTTTGATCGAACTTGCTTTAACATAAAACCATTTTTTTTCCATATTACAATAAATAGTAGTAACTTTCTGAGGACTTATAAAAATCTATACTAATATTATGAAGCTGAAAAGTTTGCATGTCTGTTTGAACAGTTTAAAATTGAACAATTCTTTTTGTGTTGGTTGGACTACTTATCGAGAAAGGCTATAAAACTTTAATTTATAAAGCTAAGGACGCTGCTCGAAAAAATAAATAATATAATGCTCAAATAACTATTGCACGGGGACGAAGTCGCGGGCACAGCTAGTAGTTAATAAGCAGTGTTGACTAGCTCTGAGCCATCAATAATAAATACTCAGCAGTGACATTGCCTTGGGAAATGGGTCATCGGTCACCACTTCTCTATCAACCTTGCTAATGAACACGCGCGTTTTTAAATATCTATTAATTTCATAATAATCGATATATAAAGCTCAGTCCTTCAACATCTATCTGTAGTGAGGAACGACTTTTGTTTTAGCTTAGTTTCTGCCCAGTATTTAACGGTTGAGGTCCCGTATAATGAAGCACCAGGAAGTCACAGTAGATTACTGGGCGATGCTTAAAACCATGTTTACGTATGGCGCTCTAACAGGCCTGGGTTGGATAATGTTAAGACTCTTTCACGCAGTCTTTACGCTGCCAAGGAGACTGCGATCACAACAAAATGACATCCAAAACTCATTAAAAGAGCTTCAGGTGAGGTTTTCGATGTGACTTACAAGTGCACCCAGATTTTTGTTAACCCTACGGGGCGAATGTGGAAGACCCACTGATCAATTTTATTTACTAGCATTTCGGTTGTATTAGGGACTGAAGCATGTCTTATTTGTATCACCGTGATTCGAACTTAATACCTATAATGCCGAGCAACTGAACTGCATTTAGATAGTCAAACCCTGGAACTTTTACCATAACAATTTTGAAAATACGATGTTAATATACTTAGTATAAAGCACAAACGTTCGTATTGAGTTTAAGTATCCTTAACAGATAGTTCTGTTAGATATGTTTATGTAAACAGATACACATCTTGACAACTGCAACACAGATGTGTTTGCAAAAAACACAAGTGAAATCTTATCTTGTCAAACATTCATATCTTGTGTATTCTTAAAATCAAAATCACTTTATAAACCATATTTGAAAGGTATACATTACTTTTAAAAGTACATACTTACTAGATATTGAGCTATACAAAGCAATAACTAATAATGTGTTTACTATATTACAAAAAACAATAATACTTCATATATTTTATATTATGTGAGAAACGAAGGTTACTGTAATTCACATAACAAAGGAGGTAATGACAAATATAGACATCGATTAACGTCCAGTTTTCTTAGGAGTTCATACATAGGTACATAAAATGCTTGATGATCTATGTAATCATAATATTTCTAAGTCATATTAAATATTTTATAATTATGGCGTTAAACGTTTTGAAGCAAACAATATTTAAAAGTATTATAGTAAACAAGAAAGATCTAGTTTCGCTAAGAAATTAAGGCATTACTATAGTTGATCGTGCTTTTACATTGAAGCTTCTTATACGAACTTATCGTCGAAATTAGTCTTTGTCTAATAAATTGTGTAAGGCTTTTCGGCTTGATGCCATCGTTCAAAGTTAACAGCTCCTAATTTTAAATAAAACACTTTATCGTTAAAAACGCGATTCGGGGGCTTTACAGCAGCCGAAACGGCGGGGCGAAGTTAAAAATCATTTTCAAATAAGTTTAACTTATTTTATTTAAATGTGTAGCAATCGAGTAAACGTTAGACAGTATCTCCTGATAATGCTGTCCCCACGTGATGGCGAAACATCGAGAACCTCTTCTCGCTCACGTCGGCCGAACAGCCCGAAAGACAATGATATGCTAGTCTTTGTCTGTCGTTAATTACTTTAGCTTTCTTGAAAAAAATACCAATATATTTTATACCTAATTTAATCAAAGATATAATTAATAAAAATTTCTAATTTTAAAAATCGTTACTACACGGTGTGTTTAGTACTACAAAATTTAAAATTTCAGCGGCGTTTTCCGGATCTCGATATTACTGAAGAGGACTTAAAAAATGCTGAAAAGGAACTAGATGAAATAATTAAAGAAAGTGACAAAAAGAGCGAAGACATTACTGAAAATAAAAAAGATATTTAGTTAAATTACAAGGAAATGTAGTTCTTTAAATATAAATGAACCTATGTCAGTAATTAAGAAACAGCGATCTATGTAAAATAACGTATGCACTTTGATTTGCTAATTACTTTTAAATATGCAAGTGTCAACTGAGGTGAAATTAAACTTAAAAGTCAACTGTAAGTCATAGCTTCTTCATAGCATTTAACTCAGCAAAAATACTCGTTTTTTAAGTACTGCCAATGTTTAATACAAGATAACGTACTTGAATGAATTTACATACACTACAACATCTAATTAATATTACAAAATAATGCAAATATGAAAAAAATATTTAATGGTTAACTCTTTTTAACCACGTTTTTAATCATTACACCAATTATTGACACTGATGTACTGCAATTGAAATATTTTTTGGCGCTGTATAGTTCAACGACCATTGCTCTATTTGCTGTAAATAGTTCTTTCATGTGATCAGAGATGGCGTGCAAGCATATAACATTCGCGACAAAACCGGCCCTCACCAAAGTCCGAGCTTTCACCCCGAGCTTAATTTTATTGATCGGCCCATTCACAAGACAACAAACGTAAATAATTTTAACGCCGTTTTCGGCATTTCGTTTATCTGTAAACGCGTAATAAATGCGCATTTTATACACGATGTCGATACACGATAGACAGGTGTTATCTAAACGCGAAACAATAGCGATCAGTTGTTAGGACGTATCGTCTTATGTTAGGCGTGTCGTGCTCAATTATAAGTGTTGTGCGATAAATACTCATTACCGATGAGATAAGTTAGCATTGTTTTATTGAGACGGACGTGTTAAGTAGTAAATATGACAAGATCCAGCTATCGGCCGCTCGTGCCGAGGGCTTCGAACAATTCCTTGGAGAACCGGGAGATTGGGTGAGTTTAATCAATACTAGAGAAAATATGCTTAATGCATTTTAAATGTATTCGTCACTCTATTGTTTTTGGAAATCTGTTGTTTTGTATAGAAACGGTACTAATTTGAAGTATTATATTTTTCGTACCGTGAATCATTTTTTTTAAACAAAGCTTTGTTCCATACATATCTACAACCCTACCCTTTAAACTTATTGATATACATAACTGCCCTTATCCAAACTATAATCAAAATATACACTAAGTAGTTTAGAGCTACCTATATTTCGCGCAATAGGTAGTTTAATTATTATCATTTGTTTATTTTGGTATATGGGTTATCACAAGCACTTGGAATATAAGTACTTCATTGTTATGATCTTTACCAAGGTTCAAAGTTTATTTTATAATGATATGTATGAATAACTATTGTTTTGTTCTTTTCATTGTAGAGTATAACATAGTTCAAACTTCAGTCGTCCCATCCAAATTTTTATACCTACAAAACATTTGAACAACAGTTGTTCTCAAAAATTCAATTAATGGCCATTGTTCTTAACGAATTTTGAACTTTCATAACGAATTCATAATTTACTTGTTTTATTTTAAATATGCAATAGATATGTATAGCGAATGCGTAAAAATTATTTTTAACGTGATATTTAAACTGTGTTACGCGTCTAATTTTGTATTTTCATGTAAAACAATATTTACTTTATGATTAGGAAATCTGGAGCCAATAATTATTTCCACCATTTCTTCAAAACCTTTCAAATTCTTTAAATAAAATGTAGTATCTAAGATACAGAAACACACTGCGTTGTTTACTTAAATGTAATGGGCTAAAAACAGAATTTCGAAACAAAGTGCATAATTATTCACTACATTATGAGCAGGTGTATACGAGTACGATACTAGTTTTCAACTTATTTACGAAAACAAAATGAGAACAAAAAACATAATATGTACGTAGTTATTTTACGTGAATCAAGTGTAGATAATAGCTACCTATGTATAATTACGTCGCGTGCTATACGTTAGTAAATAATATTTTATATAATACAATTATCAAAAGTATTTTATCTGTTTGGTATTCTCACTCTACAAATGAAAACTTCTTTCAGCTTTATTGTATAATACTACCTTCTTCTTGTATCTCGCTGTTAGATTTAAAATTTAACGTTTAAAAACTTTAATGTTTTTCACATATTATTGCACATGATGGCACTATATGAATTAAAAATCACGACACGGGCAGGACTTGAAACGGCATCGTCAGCTTTCCGTTCTGTTGCTCTAACCAACTGAGCTACCGAGTCATTTATAGTTTAAAGTAAATTGCCTTAGTAACTAGGAAACGTGATTGTTAAATATGTCAGTAAAATGTCACATGTAGCACAGATTACTATTAGTGCCAAGGTAATGCGAATGAAATAAGTCGTATCAGAAACCTTATCGTATCTGTAAGTACTGTATACTTACGTACATAATAGCAATTAATTATAATGTAACACAATAATACTTAGCACGTGTTTCAACATATATACATAATATATACGTCACAAATATAACTATGTAACTTGTGCGTTTTTGTAAATTATCATTATCCGCATGCACTTCTGGCTACCTAATATTATTATTTAAGAAAATATTTTGTAATATTAGACGCAAAGTAAGTTTGTTTTAATAATTTTTGGCAAATCGTACTCTTAAAAAAAAAAATTGGGGGGTAATTTATAAATTTTTATAAAATTTTTGGGTTGGGCCCCCTTAAACTCAGCGTGCGGGTTGTTATTATTTATGTACCCTTTTATGATTTAAACGTCAAATGTATTAAGTATCTTACAACTCGTAGTTTGCATTTAAAACCGTTTAAAAGTGCTTTTGTGAATATTACATGTATAATTAGAAATGTTATTAAAACTGTTTTTCTATATTTCTTTGTAATGGACTTACAGAACTTAGGGTATTATTGAAGTTTTCGAGAAAACCTCCTACTCTCAAGGTCGATCGAACATATGATAATCACTTTTAAAAATAAACACTAGGTAATTTGTAGTCGAATGAAACATGAGTAATATAAAACAAAACCGAATAATACCTTATCTTTCTAAGCACAGAAATATCGTAAACTTTTGTTATCGAGATTGTTTTCGACAGAGCATTGGAACACTTTAAACTTGCGAATTTTGGAGATGTGCCAAAAACGTAGCAAGGCTTTGGAGTCTTGGGTCACGGCTACTATGCTACGAAAATCAATATACGCTATTTTGAGATGAATTCTACATATGTATACGTTAGAGAAGGTAAAGGCGTTCTGAAAGTAAATTGAATAAAGAAGCAGCTAATCCATTTGCTAAAAAGTAGGGGTCGTATTTACGTCTGTGGCAATTAATTTATTAATCATTAGTCTAGCGAAGTCGTGGCTTATGTAATTGAGTTATATATCTGTTTTCCCGTCACACAACTAAAAGAGAAAGTCTCAACCAGTTAGGTACTAAGCATTATTAATGACTTCGTCTGGCTGAGCTTTCAATTTATAGTTCCTGTACTTGCTAATCTCGCTTCTTGTTTATGATGTAAGCTGATGTTGCAAGTTTTGGTGAAAGATTGCTCTGTTTGTGTCTGTGTATTTTAAATCATGTTTCAATTAATTGGTCTATATTAAATAAATCGGTTAGGCAAAGCAAAGACGTTTGTTAATAACCTCTTTGCATAAAATACAGGTCCCAAAATACGCCCAACAAATGGGATACAAGACTCCAAACCATCTTTCGTCCGCGACCTTTCTGCTGAAAAGTCATTGAAACTGAAGCTATTATCATTTCTGCTGGAAAGCTACTGAAACTTGGGGTCGTAGTTTCTAAATCAATGGACTAATATATTTAGCATTACAGACCGCTAGAACTTTTTTAATTTATAGAAAGAAGATATTTTTATAAACGTTTTGAATTTTATCCATCCGTCATAATACAAAAAGCCTGTTATATCAAAACGTTGGTTCGGTATTCTTGGCTCGTTATTGGTGCAGCCATGGCTAGTAAAAAGCGGATCTTGAATTCGAATCCCAACAGGTTCATCGTATAAATTTTAAGGTTTTGTAAACATAAAAATCATCGTCTGAAAAAACTGAACTGAAACTTTCATCCGAGTCACGGACCACAATCTACAGATTGAAATTGTCTACAAGAACATTCAGTGAGTAGATGGATACTTGTTTCCTAACTTTCTCTGCACTCTGGACATAGGGGGTCGCTACCTATTCCTATAATTGTAAGATCTTTATTTAGACGGCAATGTCCTGTTATATTTTCTACGATGAGTCTAATATTCACTCTCGTTAGTCTCATCAGGTTGACAGTCGAAGATTTCCATCTTCGGTTTGTCGGTCATCACGACATGCGCTAACTACAGAGACCAATCGCCAGACCCAACACCGGACAGGTGTGGGAACAGGGATTTGCCTACCTCCCTAGTCAAAAGCTAGGTCACGGAGATGGGCAAACCCCGGCCAAATTATGTCAATATAGTGTATAAGTTATGTCACTTTGAACCAAACTCATTGTATTTGTAATAAATGTAATTTAAAGCTCGACAAAAAAACAGGAAAGTAACAAACAAAACGGCAATATATATAAATAATTTTTACAAAACTCATATTCTTAAATTCTGAAAACATCACGATTACACATTTATATAAACCTGGAAACCGAATTCAGAATTTGTTCTCAGAAGCTTGTTCAGGATTGCGTGACATCAGTCGATTCTTTTGGCTCTTCACCAAAAACTGTGACTCCTGATGATATTTGAAGAACGCTTCCGGTATTCTTTAAAATATAGGAAACTATTAATATACAATTTAGATCTTTCTTAGAGCGCATCGTTTACACTTTACACATTCCAAAATTTAATTATTGAAATAAAATTCTCGACCTCACTCTTACCAGGTTTATCGTACATATTTTCCTATATTTATTATTTCGCTATAAATAAGAATAATTCTTTCCTTTATACAAACCGTAGGGCAGACACATTTTTGTGACGGTTTTACTGAATCTTGATTGATAAATCAAACATATTCTTTTGTAAGCTTCCTTTGCTCTGTCCAACTATTTCTACCAGGAAAATCTAA